CCAGGACTACGCTCCCAGCTCCTTCCGAGGCGGGGAGGAGAAACCCCACATCTGGTCCCAGCCCTGGTCTCTCCCTGCCAGCGTGGCCATGGGTGGGGCAGAAGACAGGCTCTCAGATTCTGAGCCCTGTCCCTTAGAGCCCGGACCGGTCCGGAGGGTTGGGGGCCTTAGCTGGGAAGGGGTCTAGAGGCCTAGAGCCAAAGGACAGGGGCTGGAGGATTGACCGAGGACTGTAGAACGCACTGGGGGTGGACCCCCTGTGCTGTAAGGAGGGAAATCTCTGAATAATAGATATGAAGGGGAAAAAATTAAGCATCTAGGGTGACTCTGGGGCAGGAGAGACGGAGGTTAGACTGTAGAGAGGACTTTTTGATGGGGCCCCACATCAGCAGTAATCAATAAACTGTCAGACTTGAAGAAGGGAGCTGGATGCTTCAGCCTGGTTTTAGGGGTCCTGGTTTTATGCAGCCGAGCTTATTTTGGGGTGGAGAGGGCTGGGCTTCTGGAAGTAAGAGGGCAGCAAGTAGAGGAGCTCTCTGAGAAAGGACAGACAAAAGCAGAGGTGGAAGTGGGAAGGGGGTGTCCCTGGGGGATGTTCAGGGCCTGGGGCTGCAGGCTCTGCCTGTGCTCCTCCCCCACCCACGGCTCCAGCCGTGCTGTAGGTAAAGGGAGAGGGATTAGGTTCTGACAGTGAAATCGGGCTCCCAGCCAAAGGGAGGGCATATGGCTGAAACCAGACTCCCACTGCCCCTCCTCCCCCTCACTGCCCCCTGCCTCCTCCACCCAAGTCACTATGTCCATCTCCACTCCGCTCCAGCCCCCTTGAGCCCCCAGGCAGGACAGTCCAGTCTCCCACTCAACAGATAACCTATTGCAAACAGAAGGGCCAAGGCAGGCCCTCGCCTCCACAAGCCTGGTGACTGAGGATATTAAAACCTCACCCAGAAGATGATCACCAGGATGAGAGAGCCTGGACCTACAGTAGCACCAAGGAGGGACATGGTCTGGCTGAGGATCCTGGGGAGGCTGGACAGGAGCTCCCTCAGTGGGGGAAGGGAGGCCTGGGCCCACTCCCCGCCCTTTATTTCCTCACTCTCCCCCCCACCCAGCCGGCCAGTTTTTCCAAAAAGACAGAAGACAAAGGGAAGTCAGGCTGGGAGGGGAATTTTTTCCAGATGTGTTTGTGGTTTGGCAGCT